AGGCCGCCTCACGCCTATATAATGCCATACGCGACCATGTGGCTTCTTTGTACAACAACTCTGGTCATTGGCCTATCATGGTTCAGGTCTATCTAAGTCTTGAAAAGCTAGCTATCAAGCTGGCACAGGTCGGACTCATTCAGAGTCCACTCGAGTTCCGTACCTTTGCGCAACGCTTCAACATTAATCAGCCTTTGTTTAGTATTATTGACGTCGGTCAAGGTAAAGAGCGGGCTGATCATAAGATTAAAGGTAAAATACTTGCATGTGCTCATGGCATAGACTCACATGCATAGAAATGCTTCGCACCTTTAGCGACAATCCTACTTGCCGTCATATCATCTTCGGGGGATGCCATGATGGCGGCTATCTCCCAAATCTCGATCGTATCAAACATGACCCCATCAAAGCCGGCCGAATCACACTTTTAGCAACGACGCCCATGCTCAAAGGTTTTGCGGAACTGACGAGTTTCAAATCTACTCGCTTCGAGACTGTCTTCAAATCTGAGCCTCTTCCTGATTTACCTGTATATCCCGTTATTGCCTCCAGCTCGAGACCGCTAAACCAAGTCTCGGCACGACCGCCCCTGCGACCCACGGTAAATCAAGACACCTTATCTGAACCGAGCCCTGGGGCCTCTGCCGTCAGTACTTCTCGGAGCACGACGCCGTCAACGGCCACTGCAGAATCGGGCGAGGTAAAAGGAGATTCATGGGGTACGTAAGGACGTTGTCATGGTCCCGAGATTCCATAATCTCTTGCACGCACCCATCATCACATCATCTCCCCAAGCGAACAACTCAGTTCAAAACATGCCCATATCTCCGCCATCCCACAACTATACCCATTTCTATACTAACCCATCCCAGCAAGCGTCGGAAAGTCCGGCGCCCCCTCCAACGGCAACATCTCCATCGCCCCCACCTCCACAAAAAAGACGACCAAAAAATACACCTACTACAACAAAGAGGGCCAGCGACTCGACCTGCCCCTCCCGCCCAAAGACGCCGCCGCCTACCAATCCCTAGAGGCGCGTATGAAGAAGTCGGGCAAGAAGCTCTGCAACCACTGGCATCTTGGCGGTAAATGCGAAAACGGCGATCATTGCATGTTTCAGCATGAACCGAAGCTTACGCCCGCTCAGCTGAATGTTTTGCGGTATAAGACGCGTAGTTTGGCTTGTAAGAATAGGTATTGTGAGAATATTGATTGTTGTGAGTTTACTCCCGTCCTTTTTTTTTGGCTTTTGGCTTTTTTTCTTGATCTTCTGGTGTGCCCTCAATACCACACCAGCATACTCTACACAACTAATCCCCCCTCCCACCATCATTGCTAACTCATTCACTCATCTACTCATTTACTTATCTACATACTCATTCACCTATTCTCCTCCATTAGATCTCGGACACCAATGCGCCCTAGAACGCGACCAGGGCTACTGCTCCTTCTCCGATGAATGCCATTTTCGCGCCTCGCACGGTATGGATCCCGTCAAGCATATGCGCTACGACCGCGCTGGGAATGTGGAATACGGACCTTGGAGATCTTGAGGGACTGGGCTGGGTGGATGGATGTATGGCCTGGGGGGTGGAGTTTGGAGGGGGGAGATGAGATGGCGGCTTTTGGGATTTTATCTTGTCTACACGTGGACCTACCTGCCTACCTACCTACCTACCTACCAACCCACCCTCCACCAGTATCCCCATCCAAAAAAAAATTAGTCTTCTTATCTTGACAATGCCTTGCAAACATCAAACAATGCCTTGTCCACGCCACGCCCGTCTATGGGGATTTGGGTGGTGCAGAGCCAGGATCATGGCCAGACCCGGAATTGTAGTGGCAATGTATACGAGAAGTATGTTTTCTAGCTGCGGAAACGGTGGGGGGATTGAGGGGATGGTACGGGAGGGTAGGGGAGAGGGAGGGAGGGCAGGCGGAACAGCAGCCGGCCGGCAAGGAGCCACCGACACAAGCGAGCGAAGGAACGAAGAGGCGGACACCAGCCCACGGGCCGGGACAGGCGGAGGAGCACGGCGCAGGAAGGGG